AACTTTTATAAAGAATATCTCTTTGGATTTGAGACTTTAGTCTTTGCAACTTTACAGATCTTCTTTATGCACCAAGAGCTTGTAACACGTCAAAGAGAAAGGAAAATTTTTAATTGCGTCATATGACCCCTTTAATTTTATAAACATTTTTTGCTATTCATTTCTTTTGGGGTAAAACTTTTGAAATGGGGTATATACAATTCTATTCACAAGTTTGGGCTTTTTATGTTTTTCGAAAGATGTCTCTTATGCTCACTAAGGGTGCAATTATTTGATCAGAAATACAGTAATATTGTGAAATATTACATGAGCTGTTTTCTATTTTAATATATTTTAAAATGTAATTTATTCCTGTGACGCAGAGCTGAATTTTCAATGTTACATGATCCTTCAGAAATCATTCTAATAAGCTGATTCAATGCTCAAGAAACATTTTTTTTTTTATTATTATCAATGTTGAAAACTATGGAACAAAAGTCAGAATAGTGAGAGTAAAAGTAGCAGTTATATTTTTTATTTCATGGCTCGCATTTCTGAAAAGAAAAGTGAGATATAAAATCGTGATTGTGAGGGGGAAAATTCAGAATTGTGAGAACAAAATTGCAATGGCCTTTTTTAAAATATGTTATATTTATTTTTTAAACAAAATTAGCAGGACCACTAGGAAAAGTTCTTGAGATTTTTTAATCTCACAAACCACAATCTCAATTACTCAAATGTTTTTAAATTCTGTGCTGGATTTTTTTTTGTTTAAATTATAAATGTTTTATTGTCATTTTTAAATAAACCGAATGAGTCCTTGCTAAATAAGTCCTAATTTTTTTCAGAAAAAAAAAGAACAGTATATTTTGAACAGTAACTTTTGAGCATGTGTATCCACCGACAGAATCTGATGTTTAAGTGTGAATAGTTGAGATGTCCATAAACCCTTTTAAATAGCAATGTATAGTCCTAAAGGCAAATAATTTACTTCTCTGCTTGAAATCGTTCATTTGATCCTTGGAGGATCAGACGATATATCTATTGCTAGTGATGTGTGATCACAACAGAAAAGAGTGGGATGTTCTGCAGCTCATTTGGCCCTATATTTCATTATGTGTGAACACATAGTGAATGGGAGGTTAGTGTTACTATTTATATGAATTATATATTTTAGCCAATATCATTTTATATTTTTCCAGGCATGCTGGTGCGTCCTGAGAGTATGGATCTGTGCTATAGGTTAATTCATTCAGAGTGGGTGTGAAATCAATAAGAATGCATATTTCATGCATTGTTGTGTATCATGTTGGCAAAGATGGAGTTAGATAAAACTGCTCCCGCTCTCTGCTCTTAGTCTTTTTCCCCATAAACTGAATGTGGAGACTGAGATTCTATATGTGTGATCTGTATAAATCAGAAATGCATTTAAGTATCAATTATGAAAGCATCATCTTGATGCTAAATGATTTTTGAAAATGAAAATGTGTAGGGTTTTGACATTTATATAACCGTCTAAATAACATTTATTTTTTCCCCCTCAAATGGAGTAAATTTGTTGTTGCAGGAATTAATTGGAATGCATTAACTGCAAATGAACTGAAACCGAAAATGTGATGTTTATCTGCTTACCCCCAGGGCATTCAAGATATAGGTGACTTTGTTTCTTCAGTAGAACACAAACTAAGATTTTTAACACAAACCGTTGCAGTCTGTCAGTCTTATGTGAATGGGGAATGGGAATCACGGCTTTGAGAGTTAAAAAAACATACAAAAACAAAAACAAATTAAACCTCGTGACGATTGACGATACATTGATGTGTAAAGACATGAAACGATCGGTCTGTGCAAGAAACTGAACAGTATTTATATAGTTTTTTACCTCTAATTCTAATTCACAACGTCCGAACTGTCCTGCGTCTTCTTCTTCAGCCGGCTCGTGACGCCACTACCTATCCGCCACCGCCACCTATCTCTCAAGTGGACCATTGACACTCTTATCTACAATCTCAATTAGGAGTGTCAATGGTCCATTTGAGAGATGGGTGGGTAATGCACTTATAAGTCTGCGATCCGCCGTAAAGCAAGAAGAAGATGCGTCACACGCCGACTGAAGAAGAAGACGCGAACACGCTCAGGACAGTTCAGACATTGCAGTGCATCAGAGGTAAAAAACTATATAAATACTGTTCAGTTTCTTACACAGACCGATCGTTTCATGTCTTTACACGTCAATGTATCGTCATGAGCCGCAGGGTTTAATTTGGTTTGTGTATGTTTTTTTTTTACTCTCAAAGCCGTGATTCCCATTCACTTTCATTATAAGACTGACAGACTGCAACGGTTTGAGTTAAAAATCTTCGTTTGTGTTCTACTGAAGAAACAATGTCACCTACATCTTGGATGCCCTGGGGGTAAGCAGATAAACAGCAAATTTTCATTTTTGGGTGAACTATCCCTTTAAACAATTATTTTAAATAGTGACCATTACCAAATTCTCTGTGAAAGCTAATATTTAATTTATCCCATTGTTTCCCTCCTGTTTCAGTTTTCATTCTGTTCTG